AAATGTATAAAAATATTATTAATCTAATATGTTATACATTATGTTTATTTGGATGCGTGTATCAAATGTACAAATTAAGTTTAACATATTTTTCATACAATACAGTAACTAATGTAAAGTATGAATTGAACGATCAAACTATATTACCCGGTATTACCATATGTTTTCACAGATCTATTGACAATAATTGGTGGTATTATCTTATTAATCAAAATAATACAACAATTGTTAATAGATTAAGTTCAATATATTCAATTAATTATACTCAAAACTACTATCTAAACGATCGCCAACTTATAAATAATTTATTTTGCTTTGTATCACAAAATTTTTGTTATCAGTTTAGTAAAATTAAATTATTATTTAATTATGAAAAATATTGTTTATCATTATTTTCGCAAATTAATGGCGAATCAAATTCAAATTACAAAATTCAGATCAATAATTACCAAATGATACGAATATCTCTATTAAAACAATTGTTTGAAAGTAGAAAACAATTTACAGTTTTTCTACATCAAAGGGATAAACGATTTTTTAATTTTTACGATAATATACATCCAATAACATTGGATTTTCAACGTTACGATTTTGCATCGATTAAATTTAAACGTATTATTATAAATTATAACACATATGATACAAACAAATGTTTACCTGGATCACAAACAATTGACGATTGTATTAATGAGTGTTCAATAGATGAATTTTTTAATACTAAAAACTATGGTTATCCAGCACGTTTTATGTACTATTATATAAATTTTACAAATAATCAAGCAATGTCGTATTTTAATTTTACCGATATTCATAATAGTATTGTCGATAAATGCTCAAAACAATGTTCAAAACTAATATCACGTTTAAAATATTATCATCAAATAAATTATGAACAATACAATAGATCTAATTCAAGTTATAGCTATCGGATAACAATAGAGAAGCCCAGAGAACCCGACACTGTTTATGAGATATCATTTAAGATGTCATTTGAAGAATACCTGTGCCTAATGGCCAGTATATTTGGCCTATGGTTTGGATTTTCAATAGTTTTGATGACCAAAGTTATTAAACAATTATTTTCCAAAACATGTAATTTATTTGTTAACAACACTCAAAATTTAATATTAAATCAGCAAACAATGTTATTTACAATAAATAATAATAATAATATACGTAACAAACAAAACTAGAATTTTCATATAAATTATACAAATTAAGTGTTTTTATACACAAACCATCTATAAATTCGTGACTCTTATCTAAAATAGTATTAATCCTTAAACTGTTAAACTTTGTTAATCTGTATTACAAATGTGGGATTTTTTTATAAATGAGTTTAAATATTTATAAGTTGTTTCTGCTTAAATTAGATCAATTTTAAAATTAAGTAACATCAATTTATAGTAAATTATATATAATTAGTGACAGGAAAATCATTATCTCAGTTTCAATCTAATAATAAATATATAGTTTACAAAAAAAATAAATTCGGTTTTTAAAATCTGTATTATTTATAAATAAATTTATAATAATTATTAAAAGCTAAGGTTGGGAGAAGCAAAAATGTTTGTATAATATAATCTAATATAACTGTATTATTTACTTTAATACAATGTATAATCCATGAAATTATGACGGATTATAAATCAAAAATTGAAAAAAATTGCATTTTTCCAACTCTGATAAACACTAACATGTGATTTGACTACATTTATATTATAAAATTGTTTTAATCCGAAGTTAGTTTCTTAATTTACCTATTATGTTTACTTAATGGATTAAAAAGATAATGAATTTCTTGTCTTTATATATAATAATAGAGTTAATCGTATTTTTTACACTATGTTTACATTATTATTGATATTATATAAATATTATGATATTTGTATCATTAATGTAATACTTGTTAACAAATCAAAAAACAGTTTCAAATGCAGCCCCGGGTAGTATTTTGTTGGTTATTGTGTACTGTTTGGGTGCATCTAAACCCGACTCTACCATTTTGATGATTGCCTTACTGGGTGTCAATATGGCCTGATTATCATTATAGCCGCCCTGAATGGTATGCCTCAAAGAATATACTGTATAACATCCCAACAAAATTGGTAATATTTATACTATTGTTGATGGCCTGCAGATATCCGTCACCAATAACGACACTCCTGTAAATGGCATCAGTGACTGGATCTTCAAATATCTTTTATAATCTGATTCTTACCAAATGCACGCAAATTTAAACAACATTTTTACCACGTTATGCAAACACACCTAAATATTAAACAATATTTTTAATATTTACAATATATTAAATAAAATTTGTAATATTGTATTTTTTTAAATTTATTTGACAAATAATTGATTATCAATATATTTATATGTTTTTGTTGCATCATAAATTTTAGAATTATATTTTAAAAATTTACTCATAATTATATTTAACAATATATATTTGAAATATTACATTAAATTTTTCTGGGCTAATAAACATAATATTAAA